CACAAGCAAGGAGTGGGTTGGAGTTGGAGTTGATGTGAGTGGGCGGGTTGGGGCGGGGGGGTGGTGGCAAAGTCGATGTGGCACTCAATCAATTCTCCACGACAACGACGACAATGATGACAACAATGATGAGCTTTCGCTTGCCGCTGGTGGTACTGTTGGTGGTGGCAGCTGCAGTGGCGCACACGGCCGCAGCTGCAGCGAATGAAGAGTCGGTCACTGCCATTGAGATCACCGACACGGTATAGTGTGCGTGTCTGTGTGTGTCTGTGTGTCTGTGTGTGTCTGTGTGTGTGTCTTTGTGTGTGTCTTTGTGTGTGTCTGTGTGTGTGTGTGTCCGTGTGTCTGTGTGTGCCTGCGTGTCTCTGCCCCATTACCCTGCGTCTGTGTGTCGTGTGAACCCAAGACAAACAAGCCTCACACACATACCTCTGCGTGCGTGCTTGTGGGCTTGTGTGCTGATGTGCAAACAGGAGACGTTCCAAGAGCTGATGCGTGGTGACACCCCGTCCTTTGTCAAGTTCTACGCACCGGTACGCTGCCCTCCTCCTGTCTGTCACATGTCATGCTTGATCGCTGCTGGCTGTTGGCACGTGGGTGCTGCGCTTTTGGTCATGCGGCTGACTGTGAGTGATTGACCCTGTGTGTTGTGGACAGTGGTGTGGCCATTGCAAGCGCCTTGCGCCCACTTGGAACAGCTTGGCACGCGAGATGCGAAGCAATCCCAACATCATCGTTGCGCAAGTGGACTGCACGCAGCTGGATGCCGTCTGCCTTGAACAAGGTGTTCGCGGGTATCCCACGCTCCGCTTCTACGCCGGTGATGGCGACAAAGGCATGACCTACACTGAGGGCCGATCCCTGGAGGTGCGATTCGCAAGTGTGTGTGTGTGTGTGTGTGTGTGTCTCTCTGTGTGTCTATGTCTGTCTGTCTGTCTACCTGCTTGTCTGCTTCGGTGTGCCTCTGTACGCGAACCAACGCTCCCCCACCTGCCCCCACTTGTGCGTGGTCGTGTAGGCGCTGGTGCAGTATGTGGAGGAGCAGCTGTCCGAGCTGGTGGATGATGCGCACAACACCATGTATGACTCCGGTGCCACCAACACATTCGACGACAGCGATCCACAGGTGTCTGTCTGTGTGTGTGTGTGTGTGTGTGTGTGTGTGTGTGTCTGTGTCTGTGTGTGTCTGTGTGTGTCTGTGTGTCTGTGTGTGTGTCTGTGTGTCTGTGTGTCTGTGTGTGCGTGCGTGTTTGTGTGCATACACGAAAGCTTTGAAGCTGCTCAGCCTCCTCTGTGCAGACATACACATGTACATACAATACACACGTACACATTCGCTGTCTGAACCCCACCTCGAATGTGCAGGTGACGCCGGAAGGGCTGCTGATGCTGGAGCACGCGGCGCAGCTGACGCGACTGCTGCGCCAGGATGAAGCGCCAGTCTTCGTCATGTTCATGACATCATGGTACGATGCATTGCCATCACCGCTGCTGTGCACGCGCATGCCGTCCACCCACGATCACTCATCATGAGTGAATATGTACATATGTGCGTATGTGCGTGTATTTGTGTTCAGGTGCGCACATTGCCGTGCCGCAAAGCCAGCTGTGCTGCAGCTTGCACAGCACATCTCCCTGCAGCAACGACACGACGAGCCGCTGCCAATCCTCATCGCCATGGTGTGTCTGCCTGCCTGCTTTCCTTCCTGTGTGCATGTGTATGTGTGTGTGATTCATTGTGGACCTGCTTCTGTACCGTCCACGTCCCCGGTGCTGTGCGCCACGAGTGCGCCTCACACTGTGTCGCGCGTGTGTGCAATGACAGGTGAATTGTGGGGATTACCCGACGTTCTGCCGCTCCGAGAACGTTCGCGGGTATCCAACGTTCAAGCTGTATCGTCCACACGCAACGGTCAGCACAACAGCAGCTGCACACCACAATCCATCGTGCCATGCGTGCTCATGTACGAGCCATTCACGCACACGCACACGCACACACGCACACACGCACACGCACACACGAATGTGCCTCTGCTGTCTCATTCCTCATTCCCAAGCGCTCGGTTTCCGCGCACATGTGTGTTTGCAAGCAGACGGTGGCGTACGAGGGGTCGCGAACCACAGAGGCCATGCTCGCATTCATCAACAAACACTTGGTCGAGTCGGTGTCGCAAACAGAAGCGCCAGCTCCAGTCTTTGAGGTGTGTGTGTGTGTGTGTGTGTGTGTGTGTGTGTGTGTGTGTGTGTGTGTGTGTGACAACTCCACAGGAGCGGTACTGACGTCTCATCTTCCAACCACCTGCATACTCATGATTGTGCACGTGTGTGTGTGTGTGTGGGTGGGTGTGTGTGGGTGTGTTTGTGTGTGTGTGTGTGTGTGTGGTCTTCAGCCAAGCGAGGATGGCCTGATCTTCACTGCGGGCTCGTATCACAAGGGTGTCGCTGTGTCTCCAATCGTCGTGGTGAAAGCGTTTGTTCCCTGGTGAGCTGCACCACCCAT